ACAATAGCATGATGGGATACTCATCCGGGAGTTTTGGTGTAATGTCTGTTTTACACCTGTCACAATGACAAAACGTACTGACATGAGGTTGAGGCAAACTTGATTATTCTAAAAAATACAATAAAAAAACATTCATTTATTAGTGAAAACAAACCAGGAAAGTATAAACTATTATAGACGAACCATTCAGAAGCGACATTGCCGGAGTTTTTAACGAGGAGTTGCCAAATATCCCAAGGAGGATTTGTACTGTTCGACTAATTGTAAACAGAGCAATTCAGACTAGAATCATTTACCTTCGAGAAGAATAGAATATTCAACTTTTAGAATTGAAGATACCTGAGTCTTAACCGCGCCAAGATGCTTCGCGTTCTGAAGTAAGTTAATTTTCATTGGAATCTGAATTTGGACAAGATGGTCGCCATATTGAAGTCATGACAAGAAGATGCTCGTGTTTGTGTGTGTATTATCTTGTATCCTATTTGAGATATTTTGGCGTATTTCAACTTCCTGTAATAAGCCCTTTCCTATTTTACTTGATATTTTAGTGTTTTTTTTTGGCATTCGATTAGTTTTCGCAGTGAGTAACTTACTGCTGTTCTTTTGAAAGCACTGAATAATTTCATCATTGAGCTGAATTAACTCTCATTTTCATAGCCGTACGTTTTATTTTGACAGTACAGTAATCGAATATGTTTGTCTAAACGTCTATATATCATTTTTGCCCTTTATTTCACGATGTTTAACCGCCTAAAAAAAATTTTCGTTCGTTTAGTTTTAACCATGAATATTTATCATTTTCACCGGGATATTTCACTATCAATGTTTGAAGGTTTGTCCTGTGTTTGTAGGCCATCAAAATTTCAAACCTTTAAGCATTTTAGATAGCATTTAGTCAAAGCGATTCTGGTCAGCGTTTTTTTTTTTTGTTTTTTTTTCGCTGTCAGCCTTGGCATGGCTTTGCCTGGCAATCGCAGTCGTTTTTCAAATCAATGGTTCCACAMTGACATAATCCGTAAATCCAACATATAGTCTGTCTTATATTATGTTAAAATCAAGTCTAGTTAGCGAAGAATCAATTTAACATGACCATTTCCTAAGTCTMCAGAATCAGCTTTAAAAATAGCTTACGGAACGAATGCTATCTCTTTATATAACACTATATAACACACATGTCTCGTCTCTCTGCCGAAGGCCACTGCAACAGTTTTGATATCATCTAAAATCAATGGTTTGAAACAAAACGGTCAAATTCGCCGACTTTGAGTTAGTCCTTGTCTCATCAGTCAAACTATAAATCTTTTGTATCCCTGGTCACCATAGGAGTACTATTATTAGTGCTTTTAACCACAAGAACGGCGCTTTAATCTAAGCATAAGTTAAAGCATTTTCTCAGCGACGAATAAATCGCCTTATGGCCATTTCGGACTAAAATAAGCGTATACAACAAGGTGTGATTTTATTTGTTGGGAGTTTGGATGAAGGAGAAAAATTCGCAAACAAGGTACAATATATAGTTGTATTTTACTGTTATATCCAGAAAAATGAACTTGCATTTATGTTTGCTGTGCACTATAACTCGAATCTTCATTTTTCTGGATAGAATGCTCATTTTGAATGTAATATTTAACCCGATAAGTTTCTTGTCGATAAATGGCTGACATTGTATCGAGTCATTCGTGAACAAACAAGACAAATTTCTTTGTTGAATAAATTGAGAGTCAACAAGACTCGTTGTCAACAACAAAGACGCTACTTTATATCGAAACAACCGAAAAAAGCGTCTCAAATTTCATGCACAAAATTTGAAATATAACAATTTTTTTGTAAGTGATAGAATGCTCATTTTGAATATAATATTTTGAATGCTCATTTTGAATATAATATATAAGATTTTTGATAGAATCTATAGTTTTCTATGAACTTAGTATCAATCTCTAAAAAGGAATTTTCGTTTTCGCGCGGTACCAAACTGGCTGCGATCAGTTTCGCGAGCTCTCTAAAACGTATATTTAACGTTATCGGTCTGCCATCGAGCCTACGGCGACACTTTTTATTCTAATTTTTATTTTCTATTTTTAAGAATTTGTTTTGATTTACTATGTGATCAATATGCATTGCTGAGGTTTTTGATTAGTTGTAAACTGAGTCAAATTAGTTCTGCGGACCCCCACAGTATGTAGAATTAGATCGGTTCGCAAGCTATACGATTTTTGATATGTCCAGCATACAATAGCGTCGCCTGAGGCCTAGCGCCCTAGATAAATTACGAGATTGTCGCTCAAAGAACAACTCAATTTGGAATTTTGTTTAAAATATATTTTGGTTCGAATAATTAAAAATGCTAATGCATGCAAACGGAATAAAGTAACCCTTTTAAAAACTCACTTTTTCAACATCTCCTGCGTTCATATATAGACGCTTYTTTTAGTGACCTTCCGTATTGAAATTGACCAATCCAAATCTGTCAATTTTTCATCCACGAAAATTGACAAAAATGCATAGTAGCTTTTTTTTGACAGTCAAAGAGAAATGTTATTGGCATTATTGATGAAAATATAGAGCTCTTCAGTATTTATTTAAGTCGTTTTCAAGTGCTGTTCAGGTGAAAGAGACATTTTTTTGTTTTCACATTGACAGCGAGCGTGTCAAACACACAAAGGAAGCCCAAACATTAGCATATGGCCAGAAGTCGCCCCGGCCGCTCACTTTTGAACGTCTAGCTATCGAGATAAGAGATGGTTTCTGGTTGATCTATATTTATATTTTGGCAAAGGGACTAGAAAGCGAAATATTGATGTAGGCTCGAACGGTGATTACGTTAAAGCCACTTTAGAAATCGACTTGTCCGTTCGCGTTTCGAGTGCTGCTTCAAGATGGCTTCTGAAGAATCGAGAAAGCCGACTCTTTTGCACACAGATAAGTATGTTTTGGTGTTTTTAAAGTATAATCAGGCCTCCAGTAAGGACTATTGTCGTTCCTTAGGGCGAAATGATACTTTTAGATGTAAAAATAACGGAAAAGATAAATTTCATTTGAAATTTTAGCCAACAGGAGGCCAGTGTTATTGTATTTGATTGAACGACGACATTTCATCGACTTTCCACTTTTAAATTACACGGATAAGTCCATACTTTTTCGCTCAGGAAACATCAAAGTGTTCTCATTGAAAACTTGTTGTATGGGAAATGCTATCTCTGAAGTTTTCGTGCAATTTAAAGCAGTTTTTCATGGCTTTTGTGTTATACATTTCCGCTAGCTGGCTGCCGGTACTTCGTTTGCTTGACTTTACATAATAATGTTTATTTGTTGTATTTTGAATATAAATTCATGACCCGATTTATTTCAAAACAATATCGAAACTTCTACTCAATGGTATTAAAACCGAGAACGTGCCAGTCGAGAAGCAAGGCAGTGACAGGCTTTCTTTCCTGTGTTTACAAATGTAATCGTACGATCAATTCAAACTGGAACTGATTAACACAATCAAAAACATTTTGGAGGGAAAGTGGATGGAAACGAAAGTTACTGTTTCGATTTTATAGACGTTGTTTACTTCAAATATTGTCGATGTTTTTCGGGATTATTTCTTTGTTTTTATAGATCTTAACACCTTAACCTCGCTTTAAGTAAAACAACTTTGCAATTAACGCTCTGTACACACAGCGATTGGATTGCATTTGGACTAAAGATTGTATAGTCATGTAAATCCATTCCTAGCTTCTTGTTAGAGCTGAAACTCGAATTAATTCAATGGAATATATAAATGATCAACTTTGTCTTTTAACCAGCTTGTTTCGCTGAAAACGAGGGCAAGAAGAGATAGTTGTATGTTTGATTTAAGATTTAGTTTCTTTGATATATGCAATTTACATGGATTTTATAACCTATGTAAATTGCTTCCTCTGTCAACCTGATTTCATTGCCTAAAACAAAACATTTTTTCATCTATTTATTTACTCTCATTTTCCATTTCWTTTCTTCATTAATTCATCCATCCAGTTATTCATGTATTTATCTATATATCCCATTCATTTATTCATCCATCTGTTCAGACATCTTTCCATCCAGTTTCATACATTGTTTAAGAGACATGAAGTCTTCATGACAGGTCTCATTTATCAGTCATACACTTATATCTGAAACAAGAACCAATCATTTGCTATAACAATGTCTTTTCTTTTAAACAAAATAATACCTAGACGTCCTCGGGCTATATTTCTAGTAATTTTAACGGACCAACTTAAAAATACACTACTGTGACAAAAAAAAAATTCACTATAATTGCCAGCTTGCCATTTTAACCAGTGGCGGTTAGATTGGACGTGGTTGTTGTAAAATATTTGTAAAATTCCGAACGGTTCATTGCAAGACCCACTCGGCAATATAACATGGTCGCTGTAGTATTTATTATTTCAGGGACAAATCCGGGGGGTGTATTAATGACGAAATCTGGACATATTGGAATCCGAAACCAAATCCCAATCGACCTGCGTATTCGATTCATAATTGATGAACCAGCAATCAGCATGACATAAATAACGTTCCTAATGCTACCAAATGACAAACACTTGAAAATTACCGTCGATTCTTTATGACAGACAAATTACATCAATCATATTTATGAAATGCTGTTAAAAAATGACACAAAAATGACATGAATTGTAGTCTCGAAATAGTCTCAAGTACTTTACATCAAAAAATCGTTATGTCTGTACACGTTATTCAGTATTGTAAGCGTTTACGCTGTCCGCATTACGGAGGTCACCCCATCGACTGCGTTCGTATTACGGGGGGCACACTATCAATGAACTTTTATGTTGGCTGTAATACAGAAGTCACTACGAAAAGAGCGGATTGTGGCCGTATTACGAAGGTTACTCTCTAGCGTTTATATGTCACTCTTTCAAAAACGTTTACGTTTACGTTGTCTTCTTGTGAAGTGCGTTCTGTACAATTAATTTCCGTCGTAATTTGCGTACTTCCGTAACAAAAAATAACACCTGATATAGTAACAAACATTCTCATACGTCACACAGACTAACTCTTACGTAAAACATACGTAAATAGTTTAATTGGATTATTGCTTAATGTTGAATTTAGCTCAAAWCACTCTTTCATAAATGAGTGTAGGCTTAGTACCATTAAACACTCGTAAACTGAGTATAAGTACTATTTAAGAGACAAAGTAAAGGAAATCGATTTTCTTGTAATGAAAATACACGCAAACAAGCAAATTCTCTACGGACAAAGAAAACAAAAACAAACCACTCATCGCCATTTCTCTTTTCTGTATTTCGCAAAGCATCAAGGGAAGACACTT